TTTTTTAAAATTTTAAACAAACTTTATGACCCCAATTCACCTCCATGCAGTTCTGACTGGACAGGTGGTTCTGAACTCACAGACGGGATGGTGGCAGCGATGGGGACTAACAGAACCGAGAAGCCTCTGAACACGTACAGAACCAGGCGCTGGAAACTTGAAGCTGGCGACCGCCGCAGAGAAAACATCTGAAGAAGAAGAAGAAGAAGAAGAAGAAGAAGAAGACCCGCCCACTTAGTGTGATGACATCACAGGTCACGTGACCAGATCTGAGCTCACAAACGGACCTCCACGTTGACCAGGTTGGTGAGGCCCAGGCAGACAGGCAGGACCCAGGTGGAGTCCGGCACAGTGAGGTCCGGGAACCACAGAGCGCCCCCTGCTGCCAGCTCGCCATGCAGGGCTGCACAGAACACACGGGTCAGCGAGGTCGGACCAGAACCGACCCTGGTGGATCAGAAGTCCTTACCTGAACAATCCAGGCTCATTTTCCGGAGGGCCAGAGACAAACTGACCCAGAGGGGCAGCTGGACCCAGATCAGAAGCGTGGCTTTGAACGGGTGGCAGTTGTCCCGGATGTAGAGCTGAGAGACCAGATGCCGGAGGGTCTTCTTGAAATGGACCCTGCACCAGAACCAGAACCAGAACTCATTCAGAAACCCGTTCTGACTCTTGTTTGTTTTTGTTGTCTATTTGTTGTTGTTTATTTGTAGTTTGTTTGTTGTTGTTTCCTTGTTGTCTGTTTTAGTTGTTTGTTTTTTGTTGTTTATTTGTTGTTGTCTGTTTGTTGTTGTTTATTTGTTGTCTGTTTGTTTTTAGTTAGTTTGTTGTTGTTTATTTGTTGTCTGTCTGTTTTAGTTGTTTGTTTTTGTTGTTTATTTGTTGTTTTTTGTTTCTGTTTGTTGTTGTTTGTTGTTGTCTGTCTGTTTTTGTTGTCTGTTTGTTGTTGTTTATTTGTAGTTTGTTTGTTGTTGTTTCCTTGTTTTCTGTTTTAGTTGTTTGTTTTTTGTTGTTTATTTGTTGTTGTCTGTTTGTTGTTGTTTGTTGTTGTCTGTCTGTTTTTGTTGTTTGTTTGTTGTTGTTTATTTGTTAGTGTTTGCTGTTGTTTTTGTTTGTTTGTTTATTCTTACCGACACTGTTTTTCCGTCCAGCCTCTCTCTCTGGCTCGGACCGTCACCTCGTAGTGAAGCTTCTTGGCGACCTCAGAGATCTCCTTCTGCAGCGCCTGCACCTGCAGAACACCTGGACGTTACTATGGTTACTGAGCACTGGGACCCCTGGGGGCGGGGCTTCAGTCCCACCTGTTCAGTTTTTAATAAACAGTTGTTTACAAAGACACCTGGTCTCTCCTCTGAGTAAAAGTACTTGACAGGTGAGTGTCGGCTCCACCCACCTTGCTGAGGATGAGGAGCTGGTAGGCTGCCAGCGGCAGGGTGATGAAGGGTCTGGCTAAAATCGTTGCCATGACGATACTCTGCCACCACGGCAGCCCGCTCACCTGCTGGACCCCAACCAGGAAGTGTTCGCACAGGTGAACCGGCGCGGAGTCCAACACGCTGCCGTACCATCCACCTGCGCCGCTGGCCCCGCCCACACCGGACACGCTCCTCACAGGTACCTCGGGTGCGGAGACGGGAGCGGGTCCGGTCCACCTGACGAGTCCTCCTGCAGCTGCTGCCGGTCCACGGAGCCGCAGCAGGACTCTGGACCGAACCAAACACCCAACGCTGAGCATGCTGACCACGTGACCTCTGAATGAACGAACACGACACCGGAACGCACATGCGTGACGTCAGCCGTCGCACGGTCCCACGGTTTCAAAGAAAAGAAGAAAACCGGTACGTTTGAAGTCCTCCGTCTCTCCTTCAGTCCCTCCAGCGTCACATGCCTATGACGTCACCGACGACTGTCGCGGCTTTGTGACGTTACAGAAGGGCCTCCTGCCAGAAAAGATTCACTGGTACCTGTTTTTTACACACACACACACACACACATACGTGTTTTTCCTCATTTGTGGGGACTTAGTGTATCCTTTGACTGGGTGGTTACATGTGGGGACCCACCTTTCTAAATGAACTAAAGGCTTGGTTTTGGGTTTGTATTTTTTTTAGGGACTCTGGAACATGAAATATGATTTTAAATATAAAAATTTATCAAATTTAGAAAATTTTAAATTGTCAGGTTCTTGGACCCATGTGGGGACGTGCCCATTTGGCTACTGACTACCACCAGGTGGCACTGTTAAGTTCAGGTTTAGGGAACTCCAAGATGCATACGTCAAAATGCATGTCAAAACTGAGCAATCGATTCTTTTAAGTCAAATTTATATATATATATATATA